GTTAGCATCCCCCCATTTCCCGCCGCTTCGCTTCTTTCCCTCACACCGGAGAGCGGTTACCGCTGCGCCAGTACCGTCCGAGGCCTGCCGACGTCACAGCTCCGTCCTGAGGGGATCCTCTCTACCATTGGCCAGCGGGCGTGCCCATCAAAAAAGGAGCCGGGAGAACGTGCGGCGACGGCCTTACGTCACCGCCACGTCCTAAAGAGATTCTCTCTGCTATTGGCTATGATCCCTGCCAATCTTATCAATAGGCGGGGCTAAGGGGTGACAGCACAGGACCCCGCAAGCTGAGGCTGCCCTTAGCTATGCCTGTACGGACGTTCCCATAAACTGCTGCGCTCTGGCGGGTTTAAGCAGAGGACGTCGTGAAATGGCGATAGAAATGATTCAGTGATATTATTTTAACGCTACTCAGTGAGTGCTGTAAAGTCAGACAATATTAATTCAGCATAAGGAGCTACTGGCGCCTTTTGTTTTGGAGGCTTCACGAGAATGTCGACGTGACTAGAGTAACGTCTCCCCGGGGGTAGAGTACAAAGATGGCTTCCGTAGGGGGCTTTTAGGGTGCACCAACATGGCCGACCATGTTAGTTTGGCGTGCTCCTCATGTGTGGAACTCCACCCCAAATATTCTGACGAAATGAGCTGGAGAATGTTTTCATAACGTGACAATCTGCATTATAGTAGAGCGCCAGCCAAACTTGTATCTTATTAACGTATGTTTGAAGCCCAGACTTTAATTTTGATTTCGGTAGGGGATTGTACAAAACAAAAAATAGCAATTTTTTTTGTCATCTGTGTCCCGTTTGCAAGATTACCCTTCTCTTCCTGCCCTGTAGACACAACAGGAAGTGAGAGGAAATCTCTAAAGTGAGAGAAATCGCCCATTATAAAAAAAGTGAGAAAACAACCTTATGCTTCCCAGTTTAACTAATAAAAGTGTCTTTCTTGCTGCCTGTGTCCACGCTGGAGGGATTCTCTGCACTTCCTGCAATGACACAACCGGAAACAAAGGGGAAATCTCAGGGGGGGACACAGACGGCAATTTAACCCTGACAGGAGCTCTAACCCTTCCATTATACTGTTGCTGGATATTGTGACATGCCAGGAATTAATTCATGCAGATAGTGTACGTCCAGATTAAAGAGGAACTTCACCCATATCTTCAAAGGCACCTTTAGAAATGTTTAGTAATGACAATCTACAAACAAATACTTCTAGACAATTGCCGGCTTTTTATTCTTCACATACCTTATTTTTATTTTCCTCTCCATTCTTCTGACAGTGGCCACTTTAACTTAGGGCAGGTTACTAGATCTCCCCTTACTTCCTGGAACTCTGGCACGTGTGACCATGCACATCATCTCAGGGTAGGACAATGCCTTTCCCTGAGATCTTGTGACATTGCCCAGCAATGATCTGCTGATGCGCATGCAGCACTTGGGCACCATTACATCATTTGTGCCAAAGAGGACCAGGAAGTAAAAGAAAATGTAAATAAAATAAAAATATGTTCATGTTAGATGATTTCATATCGGCATGCAGAGCTGATTGCTAATGTCAAAGGGGGTAAAGGTCAACTTTAAAGTGAACATTTTAGCCATTTTAATTTTAAAAAGGTTGCCTGGTAACATGTATCAAATGATGCTTGCTGTTCATGGCCACAGGAGACTGTTCTATGTGCCCTTTAGAAACTAGTCCCCCTACTCTGCTGGTATGACAGTCTCCTC